TGTCCCTGGGTTGGTTAACACCACTTCCTTCCCCCCCGCCTCCACCTCTCCCATGCCCCCTGATCTGTACCAGTGTACATCCTCTGGTCTATCCGGAGACAGTAAATCTTTAAGGAAATAGAAAGTCTCATCGTTCTCCCTTGGAGTGGCTATTGGTTTCAAACTGCTGACCTTATGGCTAGCAGCCCGACTCGTACTCCACTATGCCACCAGGGCCCCTTGCCTATGACGCCAACCAAATCAGTGCCATCGAGTCTACTCCGACATGGAGCGACCCTATAGGACAAGAGACAACCACCCCTGGGGCTTCCCTAGACTGTAACCCTGTACAGTAGTAGACAGCTTCATCTTTCCCCTGAGGAGCTACTGGTGGTTTCAAACTTCTGACCTCACGCTTAGCAGTCCAATGTGTAGCCCATTATGCTCATTGTACAAATGACAAAACCAAGACACAGAGAGGTCAAGTGTCTTGCTCAAGGTCACACAGCGAGGAAGTGAAGGAGCCAGGAAACCAAGCACTGTGTTTCCTGAGTGCAAGCTTCTAACCACTACTCTCGTGGAGCCCTTGTGGTGTACTGGTTAAACATTGGGCTGCAGTCCACATGGTTGGCAGTTCAAAACCACCAGCAGCACCGAGATAGAAAGACTGGGCTTTCTACTCCCACAAACAGTTACCATCTCAGTCAGCATCGACTCAAGGACAGTGAGTTTGGTTGGTTGGTTTTTTTCTCATAAAACAGGCTCTTAAAATGCAGATTCCAAGGCCTTCTCTCAGGAGATTCTAATCTGTATGGTGGCAACTGTAGCTCAAAGAAAAGAAATAAAACACATTCCATGAGAACTGTTGGCCTCACTCAATGGTCTCATTTGACAGTTATGGAAACTGAGAGGCCAAGAGCATAAGGAATGCGCACAAGACCACACAGCCCACTAGAGGCAGGGGCAACCTTTGTCGCAATTGTTCAATTCCGTGGCCTGGACCCTTCCCAATGTCCCTCTTTGTTAAAACGGCCCAAACCAAAGTCAGACTGGTTTGCCAATCAGATGGGAATAAAGGGGACGCCTGGGGGTGTCCTGGGGTCTGAGCTGCCCTCAGCACTCATGCCAGAACTGTGGCCCCCACAGGCAGACGGGCATGGGCATGGGCAGCACAATGGCCCGAGTGGGTAGCATCGTGAGCCCCCTGGTGAGCATGACCGCCGAGCTGTACCTGCCCCTGCCTCTCTTCATCTACGGCACCATCCCTGCGGCTGCCAGCATGGCCACCACCCTCCTGCCCGAGACCCTGGGCCAGCCACTGCCAGACACGATGCTGGATGTGGAGAACAGGTGAGCTCCCCACTCCCCACGGGAGAAGAGCCCTCAGAGCCACAAGGAGCCCATAGCCCCTTGCTCCAGCCTGCTCTTTGTCAGATACAAATGCTGAGGCCCCAAGAGGCACAGGGACGTAACCCCGGGTCACCCACCCAAACTGAGGGGTGGGGAGGCAGGCTGGATGATTCAAGCTCAGGCCTCCCTTGTCAGGCCAGGGCTCTTGTCTCTCTGCTGCCCACACTGACCAAGCCTCCTACAGTATTTCCTGGGACTCCCAGCTCGGGGGCAGTAGATGTGAGGGGCAGTCGTGGCTGGGCAGGCTGAGGGGAGAGCCCCATGGGACCCCCACTCGGGGCCTGCCACCCCCAGCCGCTGCTCCTCTGCCCCCAGGAGGAGAGGGAAAAGCCGGCAACAGCAGCTGGAGCAGCAGAAGCAAATGGTCCCGCTGCAGAGCCCTGCACAGGAGAAGAGCGGACTCTGAGGACTGAGAAGGGACACCCCTACCCCCTCCCCAGGGCCCCGAAAGGGAAGGAGGGC